GGGGCTGTGGGAGGCGTGAGGGAGAGGGGAATGGGGAATGGGGCAGGGAGCGGGAATGGGGCTGCGGGGGTGTGTGAGCAAAGGGGAGAACTGGAGCTGGGGGTGCTGATGGAAGAAAAAGGGAAGGGGGGATGGTGGGAGGGGTTGGAAGGTGGGTTATGGGGGAAAGGGTTGTGGGGGTGCCCAGCTCAGGTACCCCGTGGGGACTCAGCCGGGGTTTGGGGGACAGGCAGAGCTCCCTGGGCTCTCGGGAAGGGCTGAACAGCCACTGCCTCCTCCATGGTTGTTCCTTGCAGAGGCACAGCCATGGTCTGCTCATCCTCAGTGTGGAGCAGGAGAGCTGTGGGGTGGTGGGATCTGGGCACAGAGGGGCCTGCTGGGCACTGGCTGCTATTCTGGAGCAGCACGGAGCTGTAACCCCATCTGTGCCTGCTGCCATGGCCGTGCCCTTCTGCCCGGTCACCGGCTGCTCTGAGTCACCAGGAAATCTGATAAGGCTCCAATAAAACCACTGGAGTAGCGTGGGGGGGTTGCTTGGCACTGCGGCCAGGCTCAGCCACCCTGATTTCCTGGCTCTGCTCCGACATCCCGAGTGTCATGTGCGGGTGACCGGAGCCATCCAAACGAGCTTTGACCTGGTTCACCACCTCAACTTTAGGAGCCAAAGGAGCCTTTTGGTAAAGATGCAGCCCTTAATCCTTGACAGAATTCCATGTGGAGAAGGCACGGGCCTTTTCCACGACATGTGGGAGCTAAACCTCGAGCTTTGAAGGTGATGTTTGCTGGTTTGYGTCAGTGACATTCTTGATTTAAGCCTCCCAAAGCACTGGTGATCAGAAGGCTGCAGGGAATGTGGAGGGCAGGAGGGGACCCCAGCAGCCCTTCAGCAGTTGTGTGGTGGAAAATCATCTCCAAACGTGACCCATCAATTAAAGCAGATCATCAGGAACCAGCTAGGTGTGTCAATTCCTCTCTTCCGCTTGGCAATGTGCTGGATGGTCAAATTAATCTGTTTTAGCAATTAAGCAAGACATCCTGATGGTTTCTCGTTCTGAAAGGSCTTAGTCATATCTGGGTGAGATGSCTGAGCCGSTGCGAGGCAGTTGGTGATGTCTGGGTTGAGGCAGGAGYGTGCTCTGGCAACAGGAGGCAAAAACACGGGGGCTGCTTTGCTTTCAGAAACAGCTCCTGGCAGCTAAAACAGGTCCCCTGTTCTGTGCAATAATTGGGTTGGGTTTTTCTCCCTCCTCGCAGCCACAGTGGCTCGATGGCTCTGTTCTGCCTGGTGAGTGTTTGCCAGGGGGGGATGCAGCACTCGGGGAAGTCCTCGTGGTGTTGGTAGCAGGTTCCTGCTTGTCTTGGTTGAACTCTGCAAAGGATTTTTGTTGGTGCAGGTTCTCAGCCGAGAGGAAATTTCCTTGCTCTGGCCTGACAATTTCAATTTGCAAACAAATCCTAGTCCAACTCAGGTGTCTGCAGGACAAACCACTTCCAAGAGTAAGATCTGTGTCTGTGAAACTGCATTTGAACCCTGGSACATCCCAACAGTGGCACAGGGTGTAAAATTTAACTTTATGTGCATGYTGTGAGGTTTTTTACGCTGAGTTTTTTTGTCTGTGTAGCATAGATTGAGGACAGAAAAGGAGACAGGTATTTATTGAAAGTATTAAAAATGCCTTTTGTATGACTTTAACTGTTTTCCCTCCAACATTGTAAAAAGGGCAAGGGCAGCTCTCGGGCAGATTTATTCCTTGCTCCTTGTTCCTTTCCTTGAATGGAAAGCCCACAGCCCTGTTCCAGGAGGATACTGTCCAAGGTGTGTTATCCTGCAGGAACTGAGGTGCTGGGAAAGCACCTCATTTGCATTCCCCAAATTTGAGACTGCATCAGAAACTCCAGCTCTGGTCAGAACCAGCAAGTCCTCCTTGCTTCCAGCCCTGTTATTCCTGTCACCAGCCTGACAAAGAAATCAARCTCCCGTGCCCCAATTTTTCCTCCATCAGCAAGAAAAACTTCCATGTCAAGGGCATCTGAAGCCTGCCTGATTTTCTGTGTGGAGCTTTGGATCCCCATGGGGATGGCRTCTGAGAAAAGAAGATAAAAAACCCTTTTGTGAGGATGGTAGTGATGGATCCCCATTATTATTTGTTTAATTAAAGAGTCTGGACTGATGCAGAGGCAACAATTAACAATTATCTTCTMTAAAGAACTTTGGCAACCGCTGAATAAGTTAATGACTTGCGAGATGGAGACAGATCATTGCAGCTGTCATTTGTGAGGCTGGAGGTGTGAAGGAGAATCCTCAGGCTTGTACCTGATGTCTGATTTATGGGGCTTTTCCTCCTTCTGTTGGAATATGCAAGCAGCAATTTTCTTCTGCCATGCAGCTGGGATTATCTAGGAGCCAGGGAATTAAGTTCTAAATGAAAATTTAAACTATTCATTACACTTTATTAATAGACTTCAGGAATGTTTGATTGTGGAAATAAATTACAGAGAGGTGAATTGGTGAGTTTTGATGTATTTTACACACATCCCCTTTTTGGGAGGGTTCATTAAGATAATTGGGACTGGAGAGGGTGCCAGCCTTGTCTGTACTCTGCAGGGCCAGTGGCCGCGAGAGGACAGCAAGGGAAGGATTTTGCAAACACTGCCGCCCCCTGGCTCTTTGCACAGGAGTTTTAATTCCAAGCAAAGCCGAGCTTGGTGCTGCCGGCCCCGGCAGCTTCTCACACCCTTCACTTGGGGAGCTGTGCTGGGCAGAGCCGGCGCTGGGATGAGCTTTGTGCAGGGGCTCAGTCACAGCCTGCCTGTCAGGAGATCAGAGAATCRCAGAACGTCCTGAGGGGGCACTGAAGGATGAGAGCCCCATGATGTTGGGGCTCCTGTGAGGAAAGGATGGCAGGATTGGGTTTGGAGAAGAGAAACTTTGGGGTGACCTCATTGCAGCTTTCCAGCASCTGAAGCAGCCTCTAAGGAAGAGGGAAAGGGATTATTTAAAAGGGCCTGGAGTGACAGGACAAGGGGGARTGGCCTTAAGCTGGTGGACTGTAAATTTAGATTAGATTTTGGGAAGAAATTGTTCCCTGTGCACAGGGGGCTCTAAACTCCAGATTTGGGGAAGGGGAGCTGGCCATGGGGTGTGCCATCAGTCCCCTCCTGGACTACATCTCCCAGCAGCCCSTTCGCGCCGCTCCGCTCCCGCCCCYGCACGCCGATTGGCCGATCGCTGTGCCCAGTTCCTCCGCTCCCATTGGCTGCGGGAGCTGTCAGTCGGGGCGCGGCGGCKGCAGGAAGGGGCGGCATTCACGAAGGGATTTACGCGGTTTGCGCGGGGCGTGGCGCGGCCGGGTGCGGGGGGGCGGTTGCGCAGCTGGCGTGGCGCATGCGCAGTGCGCGGCGTTGGGGGGCGCAGCGCAGCCCCGGCCAGCTGGCGGGGGTAAACAGGGCCGGGGGCGGGGGGCACGGCCGGGGTCTCACCTCAGCCGCCTCACCGCCGCCCCACCGCTGCGGCCCGCTCTGCCCTGCCCTGCCCCGCATGGATGGAGCCTCGCAACCGACACTGCCCGCTGCGCTCGCGCCCGGGAGGCCTGACAGGTAACGGGCCCCCGCGGGCCGGACGGGCCCCGCCGCCCCCTCAGCCCCCC